ATGCTGACCATTTATCTTTATGTTTCTGAAAAGGTTTCTTGAAAATCAAATATTTAAGCTTATGGCTGTTGAAAATCACTACTCTGTGACCCATACCAAAAAATAATTATGAGAATTCAGGGATGTCACAGCTGAATCACAGCCAAGGTATGTCATCAAAACCCATCAAGCCTCTGTGAAAATACTCTAGGAATATAGTGTTTTATTTTTGAAATACTTTTTTTCACAGAGAGTGCACCCTGGTGTCCTGGCTTTGAGACTTGAGTGCCACATCGAACTTGCATGCCAATTAAAATTCGAGTTTGTTGTGTATTTAAAGAAAAACATGCTTTGTTTATTTCCTTCTCTTCTCAGCTCCTGACATTGTGATTTTAAGCACTCAGTATCCATAAATTCTAAAGTGTCATGAAAGACTTATGGTTTGGTTTTACATGGAATGTGCCATCCTTTTTGAAGTCCTACATCATTTTGTTTACTAGTTAACCACCGAAACATTATGAAGCCTTAACTAGCCTATTTTCAGAGCCTGTTTACTATCAGGAAAACTCTTTGTCACTGGCTTCCGTCACACCTTGTATCTGATTAACACAGTATAGGATAACACAGAGCTACATAGATCTGCTTTGTGTTCTAACATAACTGATGAAAAACAGATTTTCCTTCCTCCTTTAATGTGGCAGCTCCCTAATTGAGACTGTAACATGGTTTATTTAATATAATTTTTCATACTAAATTAAAGCAAGTCTGGAGTAATTTAGTTGCTCATTAAAGTTACGATGGTAGCTGCGAACAAGACACTTTTTATATCTTAGAAAATATTTCTCCCAATAATATAGATAAAATATACATAATTTAACATATATAATAGTTGCTGATTTTTATGCACATGCTGTTTCTCAATAAGACTGCCCCAAGTGTTGACCTTTCGTCTTGACCATAAAGTAAAAGAAATAACTACATAAAATTTATATAAGAAATCATAATTTTTTTCTTTCATACTATGCCTAAGTCCAACTGTTGTCAATTAAAAAAAATAAAGTCACATGCATAACAGGTAGGAAAAACACATTTACGTATAAAATTATGTGTGTATATACTTAAATTCTAACAAGTTGGAAAAATATCCTAAATTTCTGCCTTTTGGTTTATGTAATATTAAAATGAACTATAAAAAAGGGCTAACTAAATTTATCTCATTAAACCCAATTAGATTCTATGGGATTAAGAAATAAAAATCAAACTTACACTCAGAAATAAAAAAATTTACCAAGACTGCAAAACAAACAAGAACCAGTTCTACTTGGTCTGGAAAGAGAAGATTTTAGAAATTTCTGCCAACAATTCACTTGAAAATCACTACCCTGTGCCCACATCCAACTTGCATGCCAATTAAAAGTGACCAGCATTTACCCATGCTTGAGAAAGCTTGAGTTCTAATGCTAACCCTAACCCTGTGAAACCTTCTCTGTAACTTTTCAAGATGTTGTGAGATACTTTTTAAAGTGCTCTCCCTTACTGGCAAGATTAGTAATAAACCCTCATTTTCTCTCTGACACAGGCTTCCTTGGTTATCTTTGCAGAGACCATAATAATGGGTGATGTAGAAGCTACATTTAAAGCTATATTGGTTTCTTTCATTTTAATAAACCAGCCTTATTAAGTACAATTTTGTCTGTCTAGAATGAAGACAGCACCTACTTTTCCAAGTTTAGAATATTAGAGCTTGCCATTAATTCCAGATTATTAAAATAAAAACAATCTGCCCATGATTATAATTAAGAGTTAACAAAAAAGGAAGAAGTACCATTCAAAATCTCAGTGACACAAGCCTATGTCACTACTAAATCACACAGTAGCTAGAATGATGACAGTTATCAGTCTTTCACCAGAGAACCTGGTTATATCCCTTTTCCTGTTAACACCCTGTAGATAATAGTGTGTCATTAGTATAAATAATCAAGTGATAGGCCATGTAGTAGTACTGCTTCTGGAACGGCAGTTCACATGGTTACAGAATAGCATCTTGGTGTTCTCTGGAGTCTAGATTGTAAATTTTTATATTCAAGGAACATATATTGTTGAGTTTTGTATTTTCAGTGTCTTTCTTAGTGTTTGGCAAGGAATAGGTGCTTAATAAACATGTATTAAATATCTGACAAACCAGAAATATCAGAGGAGGATTTCTGAGGTTCTCAAATACTTCACACAGAGTTGAGGATGTACTGAAAGATACAAATCTAACTAAGTTTTTAGAAGCTCTCTAGATTGGAGGTGTAGGTAAAATATTCTTCCTTTCATGATTCCCAAGGCATGGAAGAGAAAAAGGCAATGGTCAACAGATTTATAATTCCCTTGGAAGACCAACTAGCTATAGGTTTCTCTCTCCTTGCCTCCCTGCTCCTCTTTGCATCTACACCATTCCCTGCTTCCCAAGCTACAAGTAACATAATCAAACAGGTGACAATGTGCTGATGAGGCCACAGAGACTGCATCATGTAAACAAGTTATGTAATCCTCCTTGGTACCCAGAGTACTACCACCACACATCTGTTTCAATTCATCAGTTGAGGGCTTGGGCCCAACTACATTAAACATATCATCGCTAGTATAATATTTGCATAATTTGGGGGACAAGTTCTACTGCAGAAAGTATATTTCCCCAAGACTTGCGAGGCATCTAATTTTTCTTGAGTGTTATTCCGCACTGTCTTCAGTGGCAAGCAAGTTTGTTTTCTTACAGATAAATTGCTTTGAGCTACAAATATTTCCATCCTGTCTATTTATATATTTTTTTATTATTATAGAATACAGTCATGCTGAAAATACTAGGAAATCATTATCTAGAGGTAAAAAGAGTTTTAAGAGATCATCCACTCCTCTCCTAAGCAGGTTTCTAATAATTTAAAAAGTTTGTTATTTAGTTAGCATTACTAATGCTAACTAAAGACTCTGCATTCTCCCTTGATGGTCTTTTTAGTGAGCACCAATTCAGTGCAGCAATGGAGGTAGAAACCAGAATTTTCATAGGTTTAAAGTGCAGAAGTCAAGGAAGTAAAATATAGACAACTGTTTGGAAACTTTGGTTCTGGAAACGAGAGCTAAGACAGTATCTAAAAGAGAAAAGAGACACCGGGTTGGGGTGACTCCAGTTTAAGATAAGAGACTTGAGCCCAGAGTTTGGAAATTATTTGAAATAAAATTTTGATTTTATAATAAATACATTTGTATTTTATACAAAATATTTTTAGATGAATGCTGAATTGACCTTTTGGAACTATCATCTTACATTCTAAACCACATACACTTAACATGTAAATCTAAACATTACTATCTTCTAGCTACCTTTCCTAGACAGAAGGTAGATAAAAAGTATGTTAAATGTAATGCATAACAGACTGTCAACTCTCTCCTTTCCTCATTGCTTCAAGTAAGATAGTCACATATAGAACTATAAGAAGTTTCTTGTTCTTATACTAATATTTTACATACAACAATGAAAAATAGTATGAGTCATGAAATTATTCTCTAGGCATATTAAATATTCTATATTGATAAGTCCTGTGATCAGTTAATAGTGAAATATCTTGGCTGAACAAGGATTTAATATGTAAAGTTTCTCTATTATGACTTAGAAATCAAAGCTAAAATGTCAATGTATCAATTTAGTTCTACACCAGTAATGAGACAGTCAAATCAAAAAAACAGTTGATATCAAATTAAGATGAATTTCTGAAATAAAATGTGAGAAAGTGACAATAAAGTTCCTAATGGTGATTGTCTAGTTTCATGATTAAATCACTACCAGAAAATCCAACTTAGTGGACTTCCAACTAAGTTAATTGATTAAAAAAATACATATATTATTCTGATCTGTTTAAAAAGTTAAAGTTAAATTTTTAAAACTACTAAATAGGCTACATTCAATAAACTTTCTAAAGGTGAGCCAAATCCAGTTCAAAAAAGAAAGCAACCTGGCTGTGCATAGCAGTATATGCCATATATCAACGACTACTTAAAATAATTGAGTATCTGGCACATCCCCAGTACAAGGCCCAAATCCAGGCATAAGACTGTGGTAGGCAGCAAAATTGCTGGAGAAAAGTCTGCACGGTCCAGAAGTTTCTAACCCAACACTTAGATCATCTCTTTAATCATATCTCTAGGGTCACATATCCTTTAAAAACCTCCAAAACTGGCCAGGCGCAGTGGCTCACGCCTGTAATCCCAGCAATTTGGGAGGCCAAGGAAGGAGGATCACAAGGTCAGGAGATCGAGACCACCCTGGCTAACATGGTGAAACCCCCATCTCTACTAAACACACACACACAAATATTAGCCCAGTATTGTGGCAGGAACCTGTAGTCCCAGCTACTCAGGAGGCTGAGGCAGGAGAATCGCCTGAACCCAGGGGGCAGAGGTTGCAGTGAGCTGAGACTGCACCACTGCACTCCAGTCTGGGTGACAGGGTGAGACTCTGTCTCAAAAAACAAAACAAAACATACAAACAACAACAAAAAAAACCTCAAAAACTATGAATAATATTAATATTTTTGTATTCCCCATCATTTCAAAGCAACTTAAAGACAACTGTATGTATATAATAAAACTATCAATTAACTGAAAAAATAGCTGATAAAACATTTGATTTATTAAAAAAATTTAATGGCCAAACCACAAAATTGATGATGTTTTGACAGAAAATGTCTCCCAACTCCCTACTCCTATACAACAATTTATCTGAAAAACAAGTGACTCTGAGATGACATGAAGATCAGAACTCTGAATACCTATAAAGTCTCTAAAGAGCTGATGACTTAAAAGTTGAAAGCTAAAAAGTTACTAATATTTAAAAAGTAAAGTTAATATCACTGTATATCCCAAATCTTACCAAAATATAAAGTTGGTTTTACACTGAATGCATAGCTCGAAATAGGTTTACAATGTTTTTTTCCCCCAAGATGAAGTCAATTATATTTTGTGTAGAAAAAATAATTACTTACCGCTATAATATCTAATGTATTATCACAGACCTTTCGAATTTCATTATTCTTATCATGCATCAGGTCTATGAGATATGCCGGAGCCTCTGAATAAAAATGGTTAAAGATAGAAACTACATTTGATATTGTGGCTAATCAATAATATTAGAAAAATCTCATATTTTTTCTTTTCTTTTCTTTTTCTTTTTTTTTTTTTTTGAGACAGAGTTTCACTCTTGTTACCCAGGCTGGAGTGCAATGGCACGATCTCGGCTCACCGCAACCTCCGCCTCCTGGGTTCAGGCAATTCTCCTGCCTCAGCCTCCTGAGTAGCTGGGATTACAGGCACACGCCACCATGCCCAGCTGATGTTTTGTATTTTTAGTAGAGACGGGGTTTCACCATGTTGACCAGGATAGTCTCGATCTCTTGACCTCGTGATCCACCCGCCTCGGCCTCCCAAAGTGCTGGGATTACAGGCTTGAGCCACCGCGCCCGGCATATTTTTTCTAAATTTAAATGCTAAATAAAAATTTAACCCAAATTTTGAAATAAAATTAATGCAAGATGATCAGAAATACTTAATATTTCATTTGTTTAAAAAAACAGGGATAATAGGGACATAAAAAAAAGAAAAATCTAGATAAAAATGGATATGGAAAACAAAGTCAGTAAATTCCAGGAAATACAAGACCCTATTCCTGAATACATGAGGATCATGAACATAAATGAAGAGGAATTTCTATAGTTGTGTAGCTACAAATGCTTCTTAATCTATCCTGCTCTCCTAAAAATTCAGGAAAACTAATTTCATATAAAAGTAACAAGAGAGATTCATGGTCAAAAGGAGAAGGCATACGACAGTTTCACATAAAAGAAAGCTGCAACTTAAAAATTCAAAAGAGATAAAAAGAATGAAAAAATAATTATATATATAACTATCTATATGTAATTATATATATGTGTGTATATATATACACAACACAAATCAGGATTAGAAAACCGAAGGAAATAAAATAATTCAGAAAAGAACCAAAAACACAAGTGAAAATCATTTTGGATATATAAAAATTAAGATAACAAAAGAGTAAATCAACACAACAGATAAGTCCTCACAAAAAACCTATGAGATGACCTATAAACAGGGTTGTCTTTCAAAGAAGTTACTTACGAAAACTACATTTTCATTTAACTATTTTCTGTAGTGGCTTCTACGGTCATGTAAATTTTAAGTAATTCTACACATAAAATATACCTTCAGAGACTCTCAACCCAAAAAAACATATTCAAAGTTCCAAGAAGACCCTGTAACAAGAAAACTTGCTAACTTTAACTCAGTGTTTCTCAAACTTATTTTACTATCATAGAACCTTTTTTTCATTAAGCAGCTGTTAAGGAGTATGTTCCACGGAAGACAGCTAAGGAAAAATTAATTTATTCCAATTATTTTAACATTGTTTAAAAGTGTATTTGGAGTTTATCTTTCTGGGAAAGTCAGTTTATAAACCATATTAAAAATATTTATTACTTTCTCTACTGTTAGCTGTTAAGGCAAGGCAGAACAGGATTTGTATTTTGATAGCCCATATTAACATTAACATTTTTCACAATAGACTTGTTATTTAACAGACTTGACTCTTGGAAACTTTATATGGTTCCAGAATTTTTAATATTTTGAGATAGGGGCTCCCTCTGCCATCTAGGCTGGAATGCAGTGGCACAATCGTAGTTCACTGCAGCCTTGACTTCTCAGGTTCACGTGATAACTCCTGCTTGTTTCCTGAGTTGCTGGGACTAGAGGCATGCAACACCATGCCCAGCTAATATTTTATCTTTTTATTTTTAGTAGAGATGAGGTCTCACTATGTTGCCCAGGCTGGTCTCAAATACTTGAGCTCAAGTGATGCTCTCACCTTGGCCTCCCAAAGTGCTGGGATTACAGGCATGAGCCACTGTGCCCGGCCAGTTGTACTGGATTATAATTTTATATTTCTTGTATATTAATCCTGTCTATCTCTCCAACAAAACTATAAACTCCTTGAAGTCAAGGACTTTCTTTTTTCTTTTTTTTTTTTTTGGTTCATGTCTTTTTTTTTTTTTTTTTTTTTGAGACGGAGTTTCGCTCTTGTTACCCAGGCTGGAGTGCAATGGCGCGATCTTGGCTCACCGCAACCTCCGCCTCCTGGGTTCTGTTTGGTAGAAAAAACCCACAGTCCTCCATTTTGTCCCTCACTTCCTGGAGTCCGCCTGCACTCTGCCTGGTAGCGCAGGGCGGCCAATCACTGCTCAGCCTTAACCCGCCAAACCTAAAGCCAACCCCCATCCCCCACCCCTTGACAGTTGCAGTAGTCTGCCTAGAAACAAGACAGCCAATAAAATTCAAACCTAAGCCCGCCAAGAGGTGACCAATCCCCTTCTGGCACGCAGAAAACCCTCCTCTGCTCTCCCTTCCACCAACCAGCAGCTAACACCTCCGCCTAAATTCCATCACCTTCCCGATATAAACCTATGTCTTCAGCCATTTGGTGCAGCTCTTCCCTCTCCCGCTCGAGTTGCCCGTAAACCCCAATAAACCTGGACTCGGCTCAACAACTCCTCGAACTCAATTACTTCGGGAAGGGTCTCTGCGGGTCGCACAGGTTCGGGCAATTCTCCTGCCTCAGCCTCCTGAGTAGCTGGGATTACAGGCACGTGCCACCATGCCCAGCTAATTTTTTGTATTTTTAGTAGAGACGGGGTTTCACCATGTTGACCAGGATGGTCTCGATCTCTCGACCTCGTGATCCACCCGCCTCGGCCTCCCAAAGTGCTGGGATTACAGGCTTGAGCCACCGCGCCCGGCCGGTTCATGTCTTTTTATTTTATTTTATTTTATTTTTTGAGTCGGAGTTTCGCTCTTGTTGCCCAGGCTGGAGTGCAATGGCGTGATCTCGGCTCACCGCAACCTCCGCCTCCTGGGTTCAGGCAATTCTCCTGCCTCAGCCTCCTGAGTAGCTGGGATTACAGGCACACACCACCATGCCCAGCTAAATTTTTTGTATTTTTAGTAGAGATGGTGTTTTTAAGAGACAGAGGGGGTCTCATTCTGTTGCTCAGGCTGGAGTACAGTGACGGGATCACAGCTCACTGCAGCCTCAGTTTCCAGGGCTCAAGCGATCCTCCCACCTCAGGCCACAGAGTAGCTGGGACCACAAATACATGCCACCATGCCCAGCCAATTTTTGAGATGGGATCTCACCATGCTGCCCAGACTGGTCTCAAACACCCGGGCTCAAGTGATCCTCTCACCTCAACCTTCCCAAGTGCTGGTCAAGGACTTTCTCACACGTCTAACACATAAGCCAGTATCTATTTAGATGGTCAAAACTTGAGAAATGTGTGAATAAATGAAAGTTTAATTACATATAGTAAAAGAGTGAGCAGATACCAAAACTTTCAGCTTAAGGGGCTGTGTGGATGACACAGTTGTTATTCACAATGAATACAGAAGGCACGACTGTTTTGCTTATCAGGGAAGGATGTTACCAATATTGAGTACCCTCTGGATGCAAGAATGATAAACTACCAGGTACTAAATACCTCTGTGTGTTGGGAACTATTGGCAATTTAAATCCATTAGTACTTACAACAATTCTATAAGGTAGGAGGTCTTTTAATTTTAATGTTAATGTTACAGGTATTTTTTAGGTACATGATTGTATGCTAAGTATGTTAAGTAACTTTTCCAAGGTCCTGCAGCTTAGTAAGTAGCAAAAGACAATTTAAAATTAGGACTATTTGATTTATAAACGCTCTTCAGGCTACAGCATGCTATGCTCCTTTAGGTAGGTGGAATATATCCAAGTAGCAGTTAGTAACAAATGCCTGGGGCTCAAGATAGGGGTTATGAAGATTAAATACTTAGCATATAGTTGGTAGCTAAACTCATGGGAATAGATGTGCTTTCCCACATAGAGTAAATAAGGTAAGATTAGAAAAGAACCAAGGATAGTCCTAGGAACCTCTGGTATTTAAGGTATGTTAATAGAGAAGGAAGTTCTGATATGTTTGTTAAGTTTCTTAGGAATCATAACCTGACTAGTTAATAAAATTGTTCTCATTATATTCTACCTACATACTGATTTGGGGTCAAGAGGTTCCATGGAAAATAGGTTATCTTCTAAATTTATCTCAAAACTTAGTGTTTTCTACATTATTTCTACATTTGCAAGAAAAAAAACCAAAGATGCATCCTTTCTGAATATGTAAAATATTGCTATCTACTGTAAACACTGAAAGGATACGTGTTTCCTTGATTATGACGTCTCTTGTGGCTTGGTGGAAAACCATTTGGTAGAAGACATAAATTATCTGACATACAAATTCATCATCTTCTTGTTGAGCTGTAAGTAAACAAAAAATTCAAATGAAGAATACTATGTTTATATAACAAATTTAAAATCATTGAGGGGAATAATATAGAATGAGAAAAACTAAAAGTGATAAGGAGATAAGTAAGCAGAAATGGATTAAACTAACTTCTATGTTTCTAATGTAAAATGGTAATAGTTACTACCACATGGTTTGTACATAAGAATTCTTTAAACAATTCTAATTTGTAAAATAAACCTGGTTCTATTTTGTCTTTATAATGTTGACTTCACAGGAGAAAAATAATTCTTAAAAATCATATCTTCTAAACTTTAGGTAGAAACTGAACTATTATAAAAAGGTATTTCCTTTTGCTGAATAATGTTCACAAAATTAAACTTTACATATTGGCATGAAATAATAAGCAATTTAGTTTCCATCTAATTAATTATAATAGTAAAAAGTTACATAATAAAGGCCACTTAATAAATGTTTAATACCATACAATTAGTAACTTAACATAGCAGCTGATGTCCACTGATTAATATGTAGTAGAAAAAGCATAATTTCTTATAGAAACTAACCTTAAGTAATGGTTGTAAAATTAGATTTAATAGTATAGTTTGCTATCAACTCTTGGTAAAAGTTCAATGACATTTTAGAAACAGATTTTTAGGTCAACAGAGTATCAAACCAGTTGTATAGAATAAATTGTGGGTCCCTTAAAGTTCAATTTGTCCCAAGTGACCTCCCTCACTAACTTGCCAAGGTACTACTCCCTCAAACAAATTGGGCTAAATTTCTCACTATTAATTACTATATTGGTATACAGTATTCCCTCACTTAACACCAAAGGTTTCAATCTTGAAAATCCATATATTTCTTAAAAAGAGTATTATAAAGTCTCTGCCTGTGATAATCTCATGTCAGAGAACACCAAAACATAGTAAAACACTCTGAGCTAGCTGTGTCAGATCACTTTATAAAGCTCTCTTGATTATAATCACTGTGGGACAGCAATTTCAGGATGCAGGTCATTTTGCTTCAACTTTCTTCAGTTCTCCACAAAATCTTCATTCTCACTCTGTCAACTACGTGTCTTTACTTTCACCTCCCAACTACTTAGTCTTTCGTTTAACTATTTCTGATCTGCAAACTTCTGGCTGTGAGAAGAGTGTACCAAAGTAAATACAAATACACTACATTTTGGAGAAGGAATACTTCAAATATGGGGCATTATCTCTAGATGACCTATTGAAATAAATCATATTAAGGAACTTACAAATTAAATTAAAAAAATTCAAAACAGAAAAATGTGCCAAAGGCTTAAACAGGCACATCTTTGTATTAGGTATCCCTAAATGATCAATAAATGTAAACAGGTGTTCAATTTCATTAGTCATTAGGGAAATGCAAATTAAAACCATAATGACATACCAGTATGATGGCTACAATTGAAAGGACTGACAATACCCAGTATTGAAGGTGATGTGGAACAACTGCAAGTGTCTTACATTACTGATAGGAATGAAAACTGGGACAACTACAGATTGGCACAGTTTACTAAAGCTAAACACATACAAACTTTGTGACCCAGCCATTCTACTCCTACATGTATACCTGATAGAAATGAGTACATATGTTCACCAAATAAAAGGTTTCAAAATGTTCATAGAAGCATTATTTATAATAGTCCTCCTCCTCCCTACAAAAACCTAACTACTATCCATCAGTAGCAGAAAGGATAAATGGTGGTATATTTATATAGTAAGATATTACATACAACAATGAAAATGAACAAACTTTCATATACAACATAGATGAATGTCACAAGTATAAGAAAGAACAAAATAAACTAGATTCCACTTATATAATAAAGTTCAAAACCAACCAAAACTAATCTAGTGGTGACAAAAGAAACTGTCTTTTGTTTCAAACTAACCACTTTTTTTTGAGGCGAAGTCTCGTTCTGTCACCAGGCTGGACTACAGTGGCATGATCTTGGCTCACTGCAACCTCCGCCTCCTGGGTTCAAGCGTTTCTCAACACTTCAGCCTCCCAAGTAGCTGGGACTAAAGGTGTGCATCACAATGCCCAGCTAATTTTTGTATTTTCAGTAGGCACAGGGCTTCACTATGTTGGCCAGGATGGTCTCATCTCTTGACCTCGGATCTGCCCTCCTGAGCCTCCCAAAGCGCTGAGATTACAGGTGTGAGTCACAGCGCCTGGCCCCAAACTAACCACTTTGAAGGAGGTGATGACTGAGAGGAGGGAGAAGAGGCATTTCTAAGGTATTGGCAATGTTTTATTTTCTTACGTGAGTGATAATAACATGGGTGTGCTTACACTGAAAATACATTGAGCTATACTTAAAATTTATGTATGCTATTATATATTCTAAAAGTCTAATAAAATACGAAATGCATATATATCATACCTAGTACAAGATGAACTGAGATGAGAGTATCTTCTTCAGGCATCTCATATTAGCGTTTTTCACTTCTGTACTATTGGGTAGTTATAATGTGTAAGATCCTAGAGAATTGGCCCTAATAAGATTCAGATAAATTTTGTATGCAATATGGAGAAGAACGAGTCCTGCCCCTTAAGAGCAATGTAAATGCAAGGGGAAAACCCTAGGCCTACACTCTCAAATACTGTAGGCCATAAACTACTGAAGCTAATTAAATTAATTCAAAAATTCAGGTTATCAGTTGTAAGAGTCACAGTTCAAGTGTTCTACAGCTGCATGTGTTGGACAGCACATATATAGAACACTTTTATCAACTAAGAAAGTTCAGAGAACTTAGAGGGCAATTCTCTCTGGATCTAGAAGGGAATATGATGTTTAGAATTAGCTTCCAAATGAACTTTCCTACTTAGAAGTCAAGTTATAAAAAACAAGATTTGCACAAGAGAAGAGATCCAATTCAAACCAACACAAAGCTCAACAGAAAGAAGTTATATAACACAGTGGTCCTTCCTTATCTGTGTTTTTTCTTTCCATGGTTGTAGTCACCTGTAGTCAACCATGGTCCAAAAATATTAAATGAAAAATTCCAGAAATAAACAATTCATATGTTTTAAATTGTACACAATTCTGAATAGTGTGATGTAATTTCCCACCGTTCCACTCTGTCCAATCCAGGACATGAATCATCCCTTTGTCCAGTGTATTCAGGATGTGCATGCCACCCACCCATTAGTCCCTTAGCAGCCATCTTGGTTATCAGGTCAACTAGCGCAGTACTGCAATGCTTGTGTTCAAGTAACCCTTATTTCATTTAACAGTGGCTCCAAAGCATAAGAGTAGTGATGCTAAGCATATTCTTATAATTGTTCTCTTTTATTATTATTGTTGTTAATCTCTCACTGTGCCTAATTTATAAATTAAACTTTATCCTAGGTATGTTTAGAAAAAGACAGTATTTATAGGGTTTGGTAGTATCTGCAGTTTCAGGCATTTGCTGAGGGTCTTGGAATGTATTCTCCTTGATTAAGTGGTGACTACTGTATTGGTTGTTCAAGGCTGGTGAGGAGAGTACTTTTGTAAAATTGGTCCTGAACTTTTTATAGCAACATTCTTACCTTTGAAAGCTAAAGATCTTTGATACTACTCTACCCAATTCTAGTTAGCTATATTTAATTCATTTTTCTTGATTATGTAAGTTGCTATAAAACAATTAATGTAATGAGAAAAACAGATTGTAGACTCTGCATTTTATATTTAGATATTTAAATCAGTAAGCTGTTTAGACATTAACATAAAAATAAATTAAGGTTATTTACCATTTAGCAATTCAATGAGTGCAGGGATTATCCCAGATTTGGCTAGCAATGCAGCACAAGAGTCATCCATGGATACAGTTCCAATCATTATAACCACTTCTAAAACAAGGTCATCTTCTGCAGCACCTAGTGAAGTCAAACCATAGAAAGTTTTCGGTGAAATATCCTGATCCAAATTCATTTATAGCATCAAAATTTAAATACACAGAAAGGATACCAAAAGCTATTAAATCAAGTCATATGAATCACTGATATGCTATAAATTTTTCCTTTTTCCAAATTTTCATGTTTGCTGATGATAGTTTACGATAGCGGGGGAGGGGGGACGGAAGCAGCAAAGAGTGGAAATGAGCTTTTGAGAGTACAACTGAATGACAACATAGACAAAGAAAATAAGACTCATTTGAACGCCTCAAAGACCTTTCTTTGTGTGTCTGTATGTATATGTAGAGGAATGGCATTTGGTAATTTTAAAAAGACAGAATTTACCAAAAGAACACAAGAAAGGTAAAATAGAAAACAAACTAATATTAAGAAAACACACTTTTAGGAGAAAGAGAACATACATATAAGAGGAAATCCAATGATCACCTTGCTGGAAGAAGAGAGCTATAAGAAGAAATGGCTTTTCCTAACATAATAATACAATAGTCACACAATAGTGCTCTAGCAGCCTTGTCCATAACAGAAAGAAATAACTTAGTGAATATGTAAAAGTCAAATACTTAGCACAGACCTGGTTTTAGTTTATCCTTGAGGTATGGAACTAACTTATATTCTTTAAGAACCAATTCCCAGTCTAAGTCTGGAATGGTCAAGTTTGCAAGAGTTCCCAAACATTCAATCACAAACTCCTCTTCTTCATCATTAGAGATCTGGGCTGCAAGGTCCCCAACATAATCCTGAATAAAACAGAATTATAATATAAAGTTAAAATATTATTTTTTATTTAATCTAATATTTAACTCACAGTAATCTAACAATTTAACCCATTGAAAGAAAAAAATCAATAAGCCTATGGTGAACTGATTTAAGGCAAGAAGGCTGTACTAGGGTGGAGGGATTAGGGTAAGGATCACAAAACAAAAACAACATTGAAACATAGGTTGAGATGCCTAGGTGCTAAAGTAACAAAGAAGTTGATAATGTAAGAGCAATTTGGATTATAAATTAATATTGGACAAGATCCCAGTAAGTATTTCCAAATGTAGCAATTTCAATTCCAAGTCTATTTTACTAGAAAGCCAAAATAATACTTACAATAAACAAATTTTTAGTTGGTCCATCATGCTGAGAAATGTTTCTTATCATTTTCATCAGCAATGGATCCTTAAATTTCAGTGCCCTCTTCATGAGCATCTTCAGCCCATTTCCTGAAACAGAAACGTCCCCCAATAAAATGAGGGTTAACTTAAGTTTAATATTTTTTTGTTTAGTTCTCAAAAAAAGCTGCAGCAACTTAGTAAAATGCATAACTCTTAAGGGTACAATTTGATTAATGTAGATGAAGGTATATACCTATGCAACACGTATCACATATCAACATACAGAGTATTTTCATTCCATCCAATAAGTTCACTTGTGCCCCTTCCCAGTCAATCATGTTCCCCAGATACAAGCACTTTTCCTCTTTCCTTTTCCCTGTCTCATTTTTAAGCATAAATAAGTTTTTCCTGATATAGAACTTCATATAAATAGAATCATACAGTATGTGTTATTTTGTGTCTACAACATCTACTATAAATGTTAAAAACATAAATACTTTTTTTTTTTTTTGAGACAGAGTCTCACTCTGTTGCCAGGTGCCAGGCTGGAGTGCAGTGGCGTAATCTCAGCTCACTGCAACCTCCACCTCCCAGGTTCAAGCAATTCTCCTGCCTCAGCCTTCCGAGTAGCTGGGACTACAGGCGTGCGCCACCACACCTGGCTAATTTTTGTATTTTTAGTAGAGATGGGGTTTCACCATGTTGGCCAGGATGGTCTCAATCTCTTGACCTCATGATCTGCCCACCTCGGCCTCCTAAAGTGCTGGGATTACAGGTGTGAGCCACGACGCCCAGCCCATAAATACTTTTGACTCAGAAAAATTGTACTTCTGGGAATTTATCCAAACAATATAAAAATGAAAATGTATAAAGATCCAGAGAATGGATAATTACTACAGCACTGTTTGTAAGAGAAAAAACGTGGCAACAAACTAAATCCATAATAGTGAAGTAAACTATGGCAAAATTCTTTAATAGTCAATTTTGCAGTTATTAACAAATGTGCTTTATAAAAGTATTTAATCACACAGAATATTATTTCAAGATATTACTAATTTTAAAAGAATATATCATGATATACAATCACATTTTTATTTTAAAATACATAGAAGTATTACACTAAAATCTTACCTATGATTATCTGTGGATGATAGGAATAAAGATTTAAATTTTTTCCTTTTTGCTCATTTGTGCTTTTTATAACAAACACATACTACTTTTCAAACAAGGCAAAAACTATTGGGCAGACTCTGAAACATCATAATGTATGACGGGCTATCTTACAAAGATACTATAGAAACAATAATCTAATATATTTGTATTTTATTACCTTATATTGTAATAGACTGCTTTGCAAAGAAAAAGTTTCATTTTATCTAGAAAATGTTTTTGGTTAAGCCTAACTTACCATCATTTATAAAATGCTACCAAAAGGTTAAGTGTCTGCATTCATGATGTAAGAATATTCGATCTGACTTTTAAGGATTACAGTTATAATGAAGAAATTACTTAAAAATAGGGCTTACATAATCACTATAATTCTTAATTTCTTATTACCTATTTTCCATCATATGCCAAATACCATGTGCTAAAAAGGTTACCTACACTCAAAGGCACTAACCTTCACAGATAAGCTGTACATTCCTTTTGTTAGCAGCAAGATTAATGCAGAAAGAAATGAGTTCCAAGTCAATTCGTTCATCTGAACATTCAAATAGCATCTTCATTAACTAGCAGGAAGAAGAGTGCATATTTTACTCAAGAAAAAAACTCAAAAAGCCAAACATAGAAGCAATATTTTATCATAATATGTTACCTTAGATTGTACATTGGAAATAATATAACTATTTACATTTAAACTCATAAAACTGGCAGGCATTCACTGTTAAGTAACCAGATGAATAAACAGTTAATGGACTCTTAGATGCTCAGAATTAAATAAGAACTTCTAAGCACAGTGTAGAATATAAGAGAAATATTAGATAAAACATCTGCCCTTAAAGAATTAAACATATTGTTTGGAAGCAGAGCATTCTAAGCAAAGAAAATAGCTTATGCAAAGGTCATAATGCAGGAAAAAACAGTACTCTATGAAGAACTAAAAGAAAGCAAGCACTGTTGGTGAAAGGGAAACAACAGTTTTAAGAGATAAGAAGGTAAAAGCCAGATCATGCAGGGTCTTGAAGTACATGTTAAAGATTTTGGCCTTCGCGCTAAGGATAATGGGAAGCTACTAAAAGCTTCTAAATAGGAAAGTGTCAGGATAAAATGTGTGTCTCAAAAAGATTTAGCAAGTGTAGAAAATAGAATAAACTTGCAAGAAAATATGGGGAGCCATGTAGGAGGCTAGAGGAAAAGTCCCAGGAAGAAGATGGCTGCCTGGACTAGGTAGAGATAAAAGGATTGATTAGACATATATTTAGAGAAGAAAACCAAAATGGAGTTTAATAACAGACTAGACATTATGGTTAAAGGAGAGGAGTTGTCAAAGATGACTTCCAGGTTTATGCACTGAGCAATGACATACATGCTGATGCCAACATCTACCAAAAAGGAGAAACTAGGGTAGGAGAAAACTTTAAAGGGAAGATGGTAATTTTGGTTTTAGATATGCTGCGTTTAAGCTGCTTATGTGATAGTCTAATGCAGATATTCAGTAGGAAGTTATAAATGCAGGCCTGAGTTTAGAAGAAATGTCTGGACTGGAGGTATAATTTTAGGAACTGGCATATATGGTTGAAACTGAAGCTGCAGGCTAAATCCAATCACTTGGGCATGGGTATCAAATGAGAAAAGAACTTTTTTAGTGATAAGAGAAAAGGAAGGAAGGTCTGAGAAGCAAGAGACAAAAAGGTAAGAAGGAAAAGGCAGGCTACCTAAGCCATTTAGCAGTAATCCAGATCTGTCATCATGAGAGATAGATGCTATAATAAAGGACAAATAAAGAAACTTCATGCTATGTTTTGGAGAAGCTAGTCTTCTATTATTGTCAAATCACCAAATTAACTTAGTGTATAGTACATAAAGAGAGTCTTCTCTCAACATAAATTGTTAACAACAAAGAGGAGTTATTCCTAAAATTTAAAATATGAAAACTTCTTATGTTTTATCTCAGGGCAATACCTTTTTAAAACAACATGCCTTCATGAATCCAACACAGTGAATAATAAATATTTATATATTTTAGACCTCATTCTGTTAAATCTTGTTTTGATTATTGTTAGTTCAAGATGACTTCTGCATTTCAAAAATATGTGGTCAACATATAAAAATAAATCACATTTCTATGTGTTAGTAGTGAACAGCTGAAAACCAAAATTAAATTTGGTTAAATTAATTAAAAATCATAATATCACTCAAATTATTAGGTATATTTCTAAGCAAATACACTGATCTGCATGCTGAAAATTACAAAACACTGTAGCAGGTGAATGGCTGGCATGTATCATGTACTCCTTCTGAGAACAGATCTTTAACCACAAATATTACTACAGATGGAATCTCTAGGTAAGAATCATTACTACTTAATAAAGCTACAGAATAAAAAAAGATTCAAGGGCAAAAATAAAATAATCTTAATTTACTGGATATATATTTAACAGATTTCACTACCTATCTGTCCAATTAAAATTAAATTACAAATAAAATTGCCAATAACCATTAAATTAAAAATTACCAAAAATGTAGGTGACAATCCTCTAATTAACTGGTATGTTTTCTAAACTGTAATTAAAAACCTACTGTAGATATTTTTTCAAACTGAGAATTGGTTACATTGAAGCAAAGTTTCAAGCAAAGTATGTATTGCTAACCAAAATTATTTATTTCAAATTAACCTTTGTAGTATTAAAATTACCCTTAAACACAGGGCTACAGGTTATTATTTTAGAAGGTAAAAAAAAATTTTAAAAGTAATTTCCATACTAAATTCTACCTAGAAATAAATAATCAGAAACTAGATTTTTAGAAAATAATGCATGGCTTGAAAACTTACTCAACTTCCATTCCTCAAATCAAGCTAAATTAGGACTAAATATAAATTAAATGTATAATGATATAGAATTAGTTTTTCATAATAAGAGAGATAAACACTTCAATTTTAATTAAAGCTTTCAAATAAAAAAAAATAGTTCAAATTTCAAATGAAAGAGTATGTCTTTAATTTGATTGCTATCATGGCACTTCAAAAGTAAGTGTAATTGCTGAGAACTAGAAAATATTAAACCTAGATTTGTTAGTTTTAAATATGTCCATTGTCATCTTTCACTAATTTAACAGAAAAGCACTAAAAGGGCTTCAGCCTGTGCCATGAAGAGGCAATAGTGTTCAATCAGACAAGTCCCATATTGAGTATCAGATACCAAAGACCCATGACTGAAATCACTGTGTCTAGACTCTCTGGCACCTGACTTCACTTATTTACCAGTGACCAGAGGCCAACCCCCACAGCTCTCTGTATTCACATACAACTCTACCACCCCCGCCTCCTACCCAAACATCTTTGAATGATTATACCAGAACTTTGCATGCCTCAGGAATCTCTTCTGACTGGCTACTCCCTAACTCTCCTGTTTGAAGTGATGCTCTGGTTTCTGAACTTCAGCAGATAATGGCAGGCAGGAGCTAAGGGGGCTGTCAGAAAGGACGTTTACCAGCATTCAGCTAAAAAGAAGCATGTAGATCAAAGGGGGACATATAGGACAACTGTGGTGGAAAACATGTGGATCACTATGAAGATTCTTGCACACTGTTCTAGGATAAAATATTAAATAACACCATGACATCACTACCTAACCATGTACTTTGGCCATTCTATTACCAATAAATACTTTTATAAGCATCTGGATGGCATTTGCACCCATTTAAACAAAACATGCATCTCAGAGGTCTAAATAACAACGAACTGTTAATGTGTACTTTTAACTATTATTAGAATACAATCATTCCCGGCTATCCTCAAGTATGCTTACCTGAAACAATCTACCCATTGAGACCATTAAGATCATGTATAAAGACCTGACCTGGCCCCTAAATTTTACGTAACAGCGGATACAATAGGATAAGCAAGTTAAAATACATTGGATAACTAGAGGCAATAAAGTACAAAGGAAGCAAAGCAATATATTGGGAGAGATTATGAGGCATGTTGTATATATAATGACCTACTCTGGATGTTAAATATTTTATCAAAGTAAATTCTAATCTAATTACAGGTTTCTCCTATAAAACACATAAAAGACAGGCAATATTTAAAATGGACTATGAATGGATCAAAATGATGAGAAAGATTTTACTAAGAATATCTTACTTTCATAGCTTACAGTTTATAAAGCTCCTTTAATATTGTAATAAAGATGACTATACTTAATTTCTTTTTCATCACTGAAATGAATATGAATTACTACTAGGCCACTGCTCTCCTACCTTCAAAGTCATGTTATTTGCAATACATGAAGATTTTTTACTAAGCAAACATTAATACATATAATTATAAAAAGAACAGAATATTATATTAACTCCAAGATATTCCAACCTGGGTTATGACTTTAATAAGTAAGTTAATCAGCAGCTGATTAAACTCATAAGTGAATTTAAAGCTTTATTGGCATTATAAACATTACTTTGAGTAGCCAATACTTCTAAAGGACTATCTTTTTAACTTCTGAAGGAAACTTGGAAATTTCATTTAATTTCTGACTTGCTTTCCATGATTCTTTCATTTTGCAATTAAGTTGGCACTGGGTGGCAATAAAACCATGTCAACTTTTCTCCTTAAATATGTAAAATTTGGCACTGTAAAGTACAAGTTATAGGCTGGATGCCACATTAGGAACAAATATGTTGTACAGTATTTATTTTTCTCAAAATACCAGCTCATATAGAAGCTTCAGGATGTTTAAAACATAATTTGGTAACATAACCTTATTCCCTTAAGGGTTGAAATTTCAAAAAGAAAAATAAATGGGAAAAAGAAAACATCGAAAATCCTTGACCTCCTAAATTTGGATAATGTTGTTCATGAAATCTAGATTACACATGTTCTGAAAACTTCATTGCATACATGTTTGATGTTAGAAAACTGTCTGGTAAGAAAACGTGTGGATATTGTTCCTGAAAAGATATGGGAGAACTTTCTCTATACAAAGTTTTAAATTGCAATAATAAGATCTAAAAAGTAACCTAGACAGACTCTTATTTCTGATTCTTTCATTTAAAATAAAGTTTTACATTTTATATTTGAGATTAGGCATTCTAGAAGAATAGGATAACTTCAAATTCAAAATTGTATAAATAAGTTTCCTATTTCTTCTTGGTTTACATTTATTTCTCTTTTATTTAATGCTATTCTCTTTAAGATCTAAACATGGATAAAAACAGTCAATCTCAGCAAGAATATTATTTTTTTTGGCTGCTTTCCAGTTCATATCCTGTGGTCAATGAAGCTCTGACTCTAAATGAAATCAGAAAAGGAACACCCTTTGAAACTGCAAAGCAGAAACCTTTAGAACATATGGAGTGAGACTGCAGTAAATCACCTGTAATCTCCCTTTGACATGGCTACTCTTTTATTGAAAACTTGTTTGACAAAGAGTTTGATTACATTTTGAATTGAGTACAGTCTGACATGCATTCTCTCTATAAGACACCGTGCCTTGCTAGATAAGATATGCTGTGTATTCTTTCAGGGATGTCTATTTCCTATAAACAAGCATAATTTACTTATCCCTTGATATAAAAGTCTAAGAAATTACCCTTGAGAGTTTGTCAATGTTTTAAATATATGTAGGTGAAGTGTTAAAATTCTCGATTAGCAAATTCACTATTGGTATTGTTTCATTTAATTTGGAATGAATGGAAGAATAGTCAATTAGAATTAATAAAGAGAAAAATTATAGTCTATTTTTTTACTACATATTATTTTTCAAGTAACATGCATTTAATAATTCTTTTTAGACTAAGAAGGAATTGTGTAGTAGAGGTCTTAAGATCTTTCATAAGTATGATTTGTTCATATTCTTCTAACATGTTTTTAAAAGTACACTACTTTATTGTATATCATACAATCTACAATTTTTCCATTTTAGAAAACTATTTTATAAAAAACGTTGTAATATTAAAAATCAACCCAACCAGCGTTCCAATCATCATAATTCAAATCAGTGGAAGGTAGTTTCATAAAGATTAATGACACAATAGTGATTTTATGAATGTTAATTCCCTAGGAGTAAAATTATACTATGTACAGAATCTCTACTCTTATAACATGCAGTCCATGTTAAAAAAAATCAATAAACTCTTTCAAGACAAATAGACCTAACATATGATCCATAACTATCCACTGAATCCTAGCAAAAAATCTTTCTTGAGAGCAGTAGTATAAAAGTGAAAGAATTTTAATGAAATATTTTCCCATTAGAGAATGCAAAGCAATTAAAACTATTAATATTAAACATAAAATTAAAATACATGTGACAAACTTAAGCAATATTTGCAACACAAAATTAAAATGGTTATTATATACATTGATCTTATTTGTTAATAATAAAAATATTAATGCATCAATTTAAATACTGTGAAGTCCCATTTTGATAGCTCACACTTGCAATCCCAGAACTTTGGGAGGACAAGTAGGGAGGATCACTTGAAACCAAAAGTTTGAGACTAACCTGGGCAACAAAGTAAGAATCCGTCTGTATAAAATTTTTTTTTTAATGTAAAAATTAACCATTCATAGTGCTGTACACCCACAGTCCTAGCTATCCAGGAGGCTGAAGCAGGAGGACTGCTTGAGCCCAGGTATTTTAAGGCTCCAGTGAGCTATAATTGTACCACTGCATTTTAGCTTAGGGCAACAGAGTAAGATCCTGTCTCTTAAAAAAAAGAAAAAGAAAAGAAGAAAGGAAGAGAGAGAGAGAGAGAGAGAGAGAGAGAGAGAGAGAGAGAGAGAGAGGCAGGCAGAAGCAGAGGCAGAGGCAGGAAGGAGGGAAGGGAGGAGACATGAATGATTTGTAACAGAATATGGTTAATAAACATAGAAAAAAATGTTCAGCCTCACCAATATTCATGGAAATGCAAATAAAAAGAAATAATGAACCACCACATATTTAGAAGAACAGTAATATCCAGTGTTGTTAAAAATTAAATGCTAGCTGGAAATAAAAACTTATGATTTCTTAGAAGATATTTTGATCATTATCTTTTGACTTAGTTATCCCACTTTTAGGAATTTAAACTGAAAAAAAATTCAGAGACGTGGGGAAGCATTTACAAATATGATATCTCACATTATTTTCATTTGCTTACATATATTTTAATGTGATAAATTGGAAAAAACATACAATTTAATAATATTTAAATTATGGTACATTAATGCAATAGAATTTATACAACTACTAAAAATAATTTCTGAAGAATGTTCAGTGACATGAGAATATAATTATGATCTATTAATAAAGCAGTATGTAAAAATTATATGTACTATATAATCTCAATATATTGTTTTTTAAGTATGTAGAGAGAAGTATACCAAAGTGTTAAATAGTTATCTCTAAGTTTGGGATAAAGGAAAGTTATCTTCATTTTTATACAGTTCTGTACTTCTTCAATTTTCTATTACAAATTTATAGTATTATTAAGAAGAGAACTTTTTAAGAGAGAAAATCTTGACAAATCAAGAGAAAAGAGTAAATATATACATATTTCTTAAATGTTTTTCTTAAAACACTTAAACCACTTACCTGTGGTATACAGTCAGTATATGCAAACATTGATTTAAAGCGGTCATCCATGCTTATGTGGTAAAGAACACACATTGCTATTTGTTTGTAGTTGTCATTGCCTAGGAATAAAACATCATGGTGATGGTGATATAAATATGTTTTTTATATAGCACACTCAAATCAATGTACTCCAACTTAAACTACTGAATAAAATCCTTATATAAACTTAATCTGAAAAATATTTTGAGTATCTATTTCAAATCGGAAGTTTGCAGCAAATGCATATTCATGTTATATGTGAAACATCACTAATTTCCAAGACAGAATGTCTAATTTCCAAGGTGTATTTTTGAAAAAGAAAATTAACCCTAAGAATTAATTATTTTCATGAGTTCAACATAAGGAAAATTGGGTCATTAGCCTCCCCATCTTTACTGTTTTATCAAAATATGTGATTAATACAGTTCATTTACAGTGGTGATATATAAGAAATAGTAAATTAAAAAGCATATTTCTATGAATCAGAAACTGAAAATATCATCCAAATAATGAAAGAAGTAAAGTAGCAGTTATAACAAAAATAAAGACTATAAAATGCTGTAAGTTATAACATAACCTAAATATAGTATGAAAAATGTCTCAGAATTTCTAAGGTAAAATTATTCTAGTTTTACACATTTTGAAACTGAAAAAAAAAATGAATAGGTATCATAGATTTGAAAAACAAAATGGGAATTCACTACGTCATTTAATCCTACCTGCTTTCAGATGAACATATTTTAAGTACCTACTTATGATCTCAAAGTCAGTGAAAAAACTAGAGCCAGAAAAGTTGCTTAACTAAAAATTTTATCCAAAAAACAACATCCTTTTTGAAAATTCTGGGATATAAGAAATCCTGAAGATATTCCCAAGGTAGTTAGAAATTCTTTAACGGAAATAAATTGGTATAATTTCTTTTCTTTTTTTTTTTTTGAGATGGAGTCTCACTCTGTTGCCCAGACTGGAGTACAGTGGTGGGATCTCCTCTCCCTGCAAACTCCACCTCCTGAGTTCAAGTGGTTCTCAGGCTCCCAAGTAGCTGGGATTATAGGCAGCTAATTTTTTATATTTTTAGTAGAGATGGGGTTTCACTATATTGGCCAGGCTGGTCTCAAACTCCTGACCCCATGATCCTCCCGCCTCGGCCTCCCAAAGTGCTGGGATTACAGGCATGAGCCACTGCGCCCGGCCCTAAACTGTTATTTTCACAAGGCCTAGCATAGAACATGGAAGTCGTTCAATAAATATCTGCTGATTGATTCTGTTTTAATATTTAAAAATAAAAGCTGAAGAAATAAACTCATTTAGTCAAAGACAGAAATTACCAGTTCTAAAAGGGGTTCAGAATTTCAGACAAATAAGATTTGAGACAGAAGCATTTTATAAAATTTCAAGAGATCTTTTATTTATTTTTTATTGTACTTTAGGTTCTAGGGTACATGTGCAGATCATGCAGGATTGTTGCATAGGTACATACATGGCAAGGTGGTTTGCTACCTCCATCCCCATATCACCTATATCTGGCATTTCTCCCTATGTTATCCCTCCCCAACTCCCCATCCCCTGCTGTCCCTTCCCTAGCCCCGCCCCCAACAAACCCAAGTGTGTGATACTTCTCTCCCTGTGTCCATGTGTTCTTATTGTTCAACACCCACCTATGAGTGAGAACATGCAGTGTTTGATTTTCTGTTCTTGTGCCAGTTTGCTGAGAATAGTAGTTTCCATATTCATCCATATTCCTACAAAGGACACAAACTCATCGTTTTTTATGGCTGCATAGTATTCCATGGTGTGTATGTGCCACATAAAAGTAAGCAAAAAAATAGAGTGACCCTCTAGTTCCCAAATTTATTTTGAACTTCCTTACCATCTGATATATTTTATCTAACATATAAGCTCCAGGAAAGCAAGGACTTTATTCACTGCATTATCCTCAGATGCAGGAATAGTACCTAACACAAAGTAGGTATTTAATAATTGTTGATTGACTAGTAATAATCATTTATTAAACATTTACTACATATCAAGAGCCATGTTAAACAAACTACATGGCATTGAATCTCAATCTGTCAAATAGGTCTTATCATCCCTATGTTTCAGATAAGAAATCTAAAGTTTAGAGAAAAATAAATACTTGCTGCATAGCCTTGTAAGTGGTTGAGTGGGGATTTAAACACGGTCTCTCTGATTCCAGAATCTTTACCAGGTTATGTTACAATAGTAGTCTCAAACATTTTTTTCCTCATTTGATGCCTTCAGTATTGAACATTTTTATATCATAAGGTAAAACTGTTTTCCAAGTAAGATATTATCAGGTATAAAAGACTGATAAACACTGATATATGAGAGAATTAAACATGTTTTTAAAATATACTGCTTTTTAATCCAAACTTTTAGATTTTGCATCTTTCAAAATGGTTTGGCTGAAGCCTATTTGCTATTGCTTACAACAGCAATAAGAACAACTTCCTGGGATAAGATAAAAACAATTTGTTTGTCAGATGAACAAATACTAGTAAGCATTTTCACCCTAACTAAAATCTATAAATTCACTAATTCAACTACTTGGAATACAACATACACTGGAAATACATTTTATTTATATAAAATAATATTTATTTCATCCATTTTAGATTTTTTCCCTATAGCATTATTTAAAGAAAAATGAAATTCATAGAAAATTTACAGAATAGAGAGTCCAGATCAAATCATTTACTCACATTTCTTCTATTGTTTGAAGAGCTTTACTACAAAATTTTTAAAGAAGAGAGAAGCTAAATTAGAGTCAGAGATAGGCTCTAAGGATAATGGCCATTGACTAAGGCGAAAATAAAGCTAAGATACAGTAATATGGGAGAAAATAATATTTAAACTCTTTGTTTAGAGGTGAGAATTTTATCTGGAGGAAAGTATAATGTAAAAATTGTGAAACTGCTCCAAGTAGGAAAAAAGTGCAGACAAAATAAATGTTCTCAACCCCAACAATTTTGTCCTTGAGTTTGGAGCACTCTAAATATGTAAGATCTATCCATTTTAATGTTAGATTTTAACAGAGCACATTTTTATACTGTTGAAAGCACCAATTTATACCTATTCTAGTATAAAGCACATTTATCATAGCAAAACGTACATTTAAACAGATTCTCATGATATTAGGTTAAGAATGAAAAATTACAACTTCATACCTCAAGGAAGTAGGAATTCCTTAGTCTTGGTCAGACTGTAGTTCATATTCTTTTTTTTCCCTTAGAAATTTAGAAGTTTGAAAATTTTTTCAAATAGACTTTTAAAGCAAACTCTCATATTCTGAAGGCAAGTATCTCCTTCCCCGTGATTCCAGTTATTTTCTGTCATTCAGCTGTGGATAAATCCTACTCCTACTTAATTTTACAGAATATTTGAAGATACTTTCTCTATCTAATGGATTCACTGGAAAGTAGGATTCCAAGTAACACAACTTATTAAATGGTAAAGGAAACAAAGAAAAATAGATAATATAAAAGATTCTTCAACAACAAAGTAAATAATCATCATTAAAATTCAATGTGAGGCTAGGAATGAAATAGGAAGCTATCCTATGCTCTAGGAGAATCTGTCTGCTGTTCATATCAATGAAAAAAATTTTAAAAAGCAATGTCCTAAGGTGGCACATCATTCATGTAAGGTGAGAGGAAGGAAGAACTCACTCTTAAAACTTAAGTACTACATTAAAAGAACAAGAAATTACTGAACATCGGGAAAAGCTAAAAAATAAATAATAAATAAAATAACAAGGGAAATTCTCTAGTTAATTTTATATATATGTATGTATACGTGTGTGTGTACACACACACACACACACATACACACACAGCTTCCAAAGGCCAACTCAGGATAAAGGCTATCTGTTAGAACAGAAAGTAATCTCAGCACTTTGAGAGACCGAGGTGGATGGATCGCAGGGTCAGGAGCTCAATGCCAGCCTGGCCAGCATGATGAAACCCTGTCTCTACTAAAAATAAAAAAATTAGCTAGGTACGATGGCACACCCCTGTAGTCCCAGCTACTTGGGAGGCTGAGGCAGGAGAATCACTTGAACCTGTGAGGCTGAGGTTGCAGTGAGCAGAGATTGTGCTACTGCACTCCAGCCTGGGTGACAAGAGCAAGACTCCAACTCAAAAAAGAAAGAAAGAAAAGAAGTACAAAGAAGAGTCCTAAAATTACTGGCAGATGAATAATATAGGTAAGAAGCAGTTATCAGATATAACAATTTATTTGAATTTTATATAGCAAAACTAATATCTAATTTCCAAAAGTAGGATGATTCATTTTGCAGCCAGTTCTGCTCTTGTGTACTTTCTCATTTTCTTATTCTCTTCACACTTATGGCCAAAAGTGAAAGCTTCTTGCGTTCTCCCACACCTTCCTAATTCTTCTCTATCTGTGATCCCCTTATTTAAAAAACTGAATACATTTCTCATTTCCTATAATATTCATCTAAAATGATCATCATATCCAAAAGTTTGCTAAAAACTAAAGGTCTGAAGTTAAGAGAAGCTCTAGGGACATAAGGCTATGAACAACTAATCTTTCTTATACCACAATTCTTTGAGAGGTTAAAGAGAAAGGGTTAAACAATGGTATTGTTCTTATCGCATGTTCAGCATAGTTTTTCACATTTAGACCTTACAGTAATTAAAGGGGTAGGTATTATCTTTGATTCAGAGATAAGGCAATGACATTCACTAAGGATATGACTCTTTCAAAAGGAAACACAGATGTGCATCAGGGATTCAAACCTAGGTCTGACTATAAAGCTCATGCATGCACTTTTTACCAAGTCTTCCAGGAGGCAGCAGAAAGACTGAAATCAATCATGCCATATAAATGCAAGTTATTATCATCATTCCTTAGGGCAAAGTACAGGAAGGAGATTTCACCTAGAGGGACTCTTAGGATCTGCTGGATCTGGGACTTCTGGGGAAGACAGTGAGAAGATTGGCAGTAGTGAAGAGAGGAGAAGAAATGAAGAAATGCAATCAGATATTTCTCAGAGGACCTGGGCCCAGATATAGTAGGTTCCAATGGATGAAATAAG